GTTGGCGTACCATATTTCCAATAATGGTACGGGCAACTTGCCAATCGTACATTATCTATACTAGATAAAATATTGGACTCGCATGACGTTTTTCACTGAAAAGCATGTGCGGGATAGTGTCTGTATTTTAAGTTGTTTAATGGTCTTTAGCTAAAGACATTGCGTAATATATTGAAACAACACTCGACTAACGCCTCGTGCAGTATCAATATATCACTTAATGTCTCGCTCTCGACCATTAACCCATACATAAAAACCAGCATACATGTACATTGTAATGTAAGAGATATGGTCCTATGACTATGTTCAATACTGTTCGAGAAGGATTTTATGCCTATAATATTACTGGTAACCTATTTTATTACTTCCAAATTCCATTACTATTACAAGGCCAATACAAAAGAGTAATAAATGAGGTAGGCCCATGTTGTTGATTACCTATATATCACTCTTCCAAATTAACAAGTATGGTACTAAGAATAGAAAATCATCAACTCAATGAGTTTCAACAGAACTAAAGTCAGCAGGTGTGAGTCTGATAACTGATACCATATAGATGTACAATATATATCCACAAACTGTATGTTTACTTATTAAAAACAAACAGGAAAGTGATATCTTCTAATTCTAAAGTGTATTTTTTACTCTACACTGCCAAAAGCTTTTTTTACAAACTTGGTTCTGAACTTCAATCCAGCTGTTTGTCAGACTGGCAGACAGTTAAACTTGATATACAAGCATTGAGAAAGCTAACAGTACACACCAACACTAATGAAAGTGCATACATTTACATGTTTAAATTTTCTGAATTCTAGATATTTGATTGCATAATGTGTAATGATATTTTGCTGATAATTTTGTACAAAAATTGACTCTTTTGAACTGCCTGCATTTGAAGGAGGAATCCTATTTTAAGTTGTATTAGAAGTTTATTATGTCTATGATATAATGTGAACTGGGTGGAGAATGCTTGATCTTATCAAATCAGTAGGTTAAAATTTCTCTTCCTATCATTCATATACACTTGCTATACATGTTTCGTAAGTGGTTCATATTTACAAGATATCCATTAGAGCGACTAGACACATTTTCCTTTCAAAAATAATAATGAAAGTAATGACGCGTGATGCACATTTTTAGCTAAAACCTAAAATTTCGCACGGCTTAATCCACATGTACATGTAGGTACTCGGATTGATTATTCAACATTAAAATTAAGAAAACAAAATCAAAATACAAATGCTAGCATCCTTGGTATCTCCAGTGATACCGTTCCGTTCTACTCCACTAAGCCCTGGGTCCATTCACGGGGAGACACATAATTAAATTATCCACCTTTATTGACTAATGGAGTGGGTGAAGGGAAGTTAACTCGCATTTTATTGCAACTAAGATTATTGTAAGACATGTATGTAAACTGTTTTTTGATTGGTTCGTAGAATCAACCTACATGTACAATCAAGGGCAGATCATTTGTATTAGTGAAAACCCTGTGAATGGACCCAGGGCTTGCTGGGAATATCAAGGATGCAACGCTAGGTGATATCCTGGCTTGGATTCAATTGGATTTTATACAGGCCTATCAACAAAATGGCGACAAGTTCATTACATAACAAAGAACACTGAATGATGAAATTTCAATTCCACATATCTTTGTAAATACTGAACAGCTTTGCACCATTTTTGGACTGATATTCCTATTAGCCATTCATCTTTAACAATGTTGCAGTTCCTAGTCTGCAAAACTGCTTACATGTAGATTCTACTATTGGTGTGAACATTTCTGGTGTTTATTATTTTATAACTCTCAGTAAACAGTTCATATTATCACAGAAAATGTCATGTGGTATTATACACTGATGAAGGATAAAGAGTTTGGGCCTATAATACCTAGAATGGTAACCTATAATATATGAAACTTTAAATTACAATAGCACACGAAAGTTTGGTACAGAAATGCTTTGAGTTGGCCCACATGTATTTATCTACTAGTTAATAATATTATCTAGACAGTTGAATTTGGTTAAAGCATAAAGTTGTTCTACTGCACCAAAATTCCACAAAAAGTTCATTTCATGCAGTTACTTTCCTAGATATTCATTGATAAATTATCATAAATATCTGACAAATTTTCATTGAAGATGGGTCAGACAAATTTTCATTGAAGTTGGGTCAGATCCTGTAATGTTATGATGAAAGCTTATGACAAAATTATGAGTAGTTATTGGTTTTAACCATTTAAAATATGATTGTCTGACGGAATTAGAACTCTTATTGTAGAACATGTGGTAATATTGAAAGAATAAACAAAACAAAATTTTAATCTATTTTTAATTAGATTGATCATAAAGTCACTTTTATGTATATTTTGAAATATTGTACATTATTAAGCAGAACAAGTAAACAATCAAGGTTAAATGTATTTTTCAATAGAAATCTGTTGGTCAAGTTAAAAATATGTAATCTTTGTAGTTTGATATGTAAATTCAAAGTTTGTTGAGTAAAACATGCTCTTAGTGTGAAATATTTTTAGCAAAGATGAGCGTTGCATGAAATTTTTAAGCACATGTGGAGTATATTCTTATGGATAGTACATGTGTCATAGAATTACTTTTAAAATAGTTGACCAAGAAGAGCAGAATATTCTGAATTGAATATATTCTAATACATTGTACCATACAAAACTACATGTAGCACGTGGAAGTACTGTACATGCCTATCTCTGTAGGTAGAACATCTCTGTTCAGAATCGTAAAGTAAAGGAGGACCACACCACACGGAAACAAAACCGATAAGATAAACCTGCGGACAAGACACAAACTACATAGACATTGCAAGCAATAAAATAGAATACTGGTAGTAAAATGTAGATTGTTTATTTGTTTGAATGTAACCATGTAGATATTGATGTAGCGACTAACCATGTACCAGCTGGTTAATTTTATTCAAATCTACATGCCAATTACACTTTGAAGGTGCTTTCCCAGATTGTACATTAAACATCAAAAGTGAATAATGGTATATTTTTTTGTTGGGGGAGGGGGGGATCAAATTATTGAGCCATCATCGAAAAGGATAGTTTGCATTTCTTCGAAAAGGTATCACAGAGCTTCACAGATTGCTGTTTTAATAAGGGTTTCTATAGGAACTTAAATTACATTGTACTTACATACAATATCATCAATAAAATCAATACCCTTTTTGTTGTTTATAATTTGTTATCAAGGTTCAGGTTTTGTTTGGGTGACACCAGCTGCATGACTTGCTGCCAAAAAGAGTCTTGATGCTCATAAATGAGGTTTATTTAAAGTTTAATGATTAAAAAAATATAAAAAAAAAATTATAACCCAAACCACCCATAATGCATATCAGACACAGAGCAATAATTTACTGAAACATTTCTATCCCATACAATTACAACATGTTTCTGATAAAATAACTACTAATTTTCTAAGATAGAATATGCTGCATATTATGTCACTGATTAGTAGGCTATGGTACTCTTTCAGTCTTAAAACAATACAGACCTGACCTGGCAATAATCTTATCACACTTAATAATAAAAAAAACCCCAATAAATTATTGGCAGACTCAGAAATCTATTTTCTACACGAATACATGTTATATGTGTATATGGTTGCACTGAAAATTTATAGCTTGGATATTTAGACCTAAGAAGAAATTTGATTTTAGCTTCATCTTATCACTGAGATAGTGAAATATCAAATTTAATATGGTACGGTAACTGTGTGTTTTATACTACAGTTGACATGGCAGACAAACTTCTTGTGCAAAGGATAATTGCTAAAACAACTGGCGAATAAAATTACTAATGCAATCAAAGAATTATTTCTTAAATCAAGTGTTAAGCTTATTGCTTTTACTAACTGTATCATGCTTGATAATCAAAGTTATGATTGCAGGTAGTATTCACAAACATTTAAAGGGGCCCTCTCTGATAGGAGATATCTTAGGAATAAAACTGCTTTAATTCTGTGGTATAGCTATAAGGCCTACTCTAACTTTATAATTTGTCCCACACATACATGTAGTTCTAATACCCAACTAGTATGTTGAAAGAGTAGAATTAATTGTTGTTAGAATTAGAAGTATAGATTATATTGTTATATTTTGGCATTTCAATGATTGGCATACTTCAACCCACTTTTATCAAAGTATAGTAGGCCTACGCCCTTTTGAGGGTTCATATCTATTCTATGTTGGACACTGACTTTTTGTGCAATCCGCAAAACTAGATAGTTCCTTGTCAGACCCCCCCATCCTGCCACTGACAATGGTCGACAATGTGGAACTACATGTACGGTACTCTGGAAAATACTGGGGAACATTGGAATTGAACCCTAGACCTCCTAGTTAGTGAGCCATGTATAAACGCTGAGTTACCATGTCTCCTCTCCTCTCAAGGGGGGTTGGATGGACGAATGGTTAGCATGTGCACGTTGTATCAAAAGGTCTGTCATTGAGTCAACTGGCGTGGTTTTGATTCCCTGGTTGTATGTGACAAAGAGCAGGGTCGCCTGTCCAACCTCGTGGGTTTTCTCTGGGTCCTCGACTGGTTCCCACCCACCTCCCCGCCCACTGCTAAAGACCCTTAGGCCCTACGTACACGCAAGTCAATTATTGAAATAAAATTGAACCATGTGTTACTCCCGAAATGACCTAGTTTGTGTCGAGTGGCGGTTAAACCCTAGTTCTCTCTCTCTCTGTCTCTCCTCAAAATACACATACGGGTTGGCATTGGATTAAACTATTATTTCCCCAAAATATAAATATAGATAGACCAGCACTTTTATTAAATTATTACAAAGTTAACTCTGTAATCTATTGTTATTCATGTTAAAATTATAGACATACTATATATACGTCTATAATAATGTTGTGCTACCTGTCATGTGCAGCTAAAAATAGACTACAAGTCCTGAAGTAACAGTGTTATAACAGTAAACTCTCAAAATAACAGTAGCCTAAGTATTACCAACCCATACACAGCGCCAACAGATAAAAAATCCACAAAATCCTATCTTCTTTCATCTTCGTCTTATTTATGCGTGTCATCTAGTTTTTGTATACATAGTTGAACGGTTGAAATATATCCATTATGACATAACTATTCCTCTGAAAACTTTCCAAACTTTATGCACGGAGTGGCTCGAATATAAACAGTCTCGACCAACCAGTTTCAAATAGAGTCAATATCCGGTAGAGCAGCAGCTAGCTAGCCGTTATAAACCAGACGTAAGATATCAATATGATATCAGTAGCTCTTTATTAATCAAGACTACTGCGGTAAAGGGAGGAAACCTGTTGCTGTAAACTGAAAAAAATAATGGAAATAAAATATTTTCCTAACCTCCCGCAGACGCTTTCTACCGAGATTGATAATCATAATATTACACGGTATCCAGACAACTCATCCCAAGGGCGCAGTTGATACATATTAATACTTCTCGCAGTTTGATTAGACCTAAGCCACTCAAACTACAAAGAGGGAGTATTCAAAACTGAAATACCATCATAGGTGGAAGTGGACGTAAAACTCCAGAAACGAACGAACGATCTACATTGTGTTTAAGTCTAAACAAATTGTTTTGTTTTTATCAGGGTGTATGATGGCCTAGAAAAAAAACCTCATCTCTCATCCCGCCATAAAAAAAAACAAGCACATCAATATATCTCAACATTTTTAGCTACGTTCCCGTACCAAATAATGAAGGTTGTTCCTTCTTGATAATCAATGACCTAGTAGTATGGCAGGTGACTTAAAATTCATACGCCATACAGTATGCTACGAGGGATTTTTTTGCCCAGGCAACGACGCTACGACAAGTTACTATTATTTCAAATTCCAATGTCAAGTGTTCTTTTTCGTGCACGCCAATGTGTACACGGAACCTCGAGTTTTCGCCCTATAAGAACGATTAGACACTGTTCCTTGCCTGGCCCCACGCCGGAGGAATAGTTAAACACTTACAACTTTCAAATGGAACACAAAAGCGTTGTTAAACAATTAAAGCAGGCAACTGATTTTCACTCGAAGGGACCTTTTTGATATTACCACAAAGTATAGTCTAACGAAATTATCTAGATCTGAAGTTCCTCATTATAGCGCTGTTGATTTTGTGTGAGATATGATATAATTAGAAGAAAGATGATATTTTACATTTTGTGTATATATTTTATACATTATGATAATGGTGATGGAATAATCTACCATGGTATGATTTATGGGTGCTCTCAGCAATTCTAATACATTTGTATCAGTAATAGTCCCGAAATGACCTATATATATATATATATATAGTTTGTGTCGAGTGGACGTTTAACCCCATTTCTCTCTCTCTCTCTCTGTATCAGTAATCTACGGTGGCCCATATACGACTTTTAAATATTTTTGAGTTTTGTTTTTTAGTTTTAGGTTTGTTTTTTTAGTTCTCACCTTGGTGAAAACGTTTTCACCTAGGTGATAAGTTATCACCTAGGTGAAAACGTTTCCACCAAGGTGAAAAGGTTATCACCGAGTGAAAAGGTTATCACCGAGGTGATAAGTTATCACCTAGGTGAAAACGTTTCCACCGAGGTGATAACCTTTTCACCTAGGTGAGAACTAAAAAAACAAACCTAAAACTAAAAAACAAAACCCAAAACTAAAAAATATTTAAAAGTCGTATATGGGCCACCGTAGTAATCTCCAATTACTTCTTCAAAATAAAATAATGTCCGCCATAATATAGTTAATTTAGTAACGATGAGATGCCACGAGTCCGATCAGACATCATTAATAAAGTAACTAGCCATAACATAACTTTTTTAAGAGGCATATAGGCGCTTTGGGCGACTTTTTCAGTCAGTAAAAAGTAATTTTCGAATGCAATAATATCTTGGTTGTTCAAATTATTGCATTCTGTACGCGACAAGGAATGGGGCCGTCCGTTTTCCTCACAAACACCTATTACACGCCAGCGAATTATAGAAGGAAAAAGGTGTACAATTTTTTAGCCCGAAATTACATAGTGGACGTGAAACTTTCTAACCCTAACCATTTGTTTTATTAAGATTTATTGATGTGAAAATCTTTATAGTAAATACGTACTGGAATTATCCATGCAATAATTTAATGCCGGAAAACATCAAAATACACAGAAGAGTGCATGACTGCCCTATGATGTATTTTTGAAAGGGCTTAATTTCAGAATAGATAGACAAAATGTTTGAAAAAGAAATTGATTCAACATTTATAAATTTATCCGATACAGGCATGCTGTATTATCGACCCCTTCTTGGTCCTGATGCTAGCTAAAACTTGGTTATATTTTTCCTGGAATCTTATTATATACAGTATGCACTTTAATACTCCATATCAATGTATATTGATAACTATAATATAGGTTTATATCATTTATGTATCTTGCTTTTGGGAAGCCGATTTATGTAAGCTTTTGGCTTGTTTCGTATCCTGTGAATAAAATATTGTTTAAAAAAAAATCAAAAAAAATCTATTAATACGGGAACTTTCCAGCATAGAGTACCCCGTAGACAGAACAAATGAAATAATATGGGTTTTAACATCCTACTCTTCTGCACCGTAGACACAAGATAACAGTGGGTCGGCATGCACTCCGGATTAAGACGCAACACAAGGGGAGTCTGGCGCACTTAAATAAATTGGGGCCTATGACCACCCATGTCCACCAACCCACTCCTCTCAACAAAATGTTACATTTTTTTTTATTGAACTTCATTTATATATAGAATATTATTATTTTTTGTTTGAATGCACAACGTCGATTAAATAGAAAAGCACTATCTGAAATCAAAATATGATATAAATGACATACAAATACAATCTTTACAATTGGAAGTACAGCAGATGAAAGTGGATATCGTACTTTTTCATGAAAAATTATACATAATTCAGCTTGATATGGCCTGAACGGTTTTAAGGAAAATGTATGTATTCCTAACCAGTGGTCTCAATACAAGGAGTCTACAAATAATTTATTATTTGAAAACTAGTCACATGAAATTATAAATTGATTAATATGAAAAAATAAATCGACATATGGGAGTTGTTTCCCTTTAACCCCAGAGATTGTTTTACTACGGGTTAGCAAATCAATAAAAAAGATATTCCGTAATGAAAATTTCTGAAGAGGGCTATTTAAAAATAACAAAATTGTGGGTCAAGAAGGTCTTTAACAACAATGCCAATTTTATTTCAGCTGCGATTTTTGTTTTAATACATTTGAAGCACAATGTAAATCCATAAACACAGAATGTAACTAAGAATGAAATAACTTGTTTCTGTCAATTTCGATATTTTTTTTAAAATTTTCTGCTCCAGATGTTAACAGTAACACGGGATGTTCGATTACAAAAATTATACATGTCACGAGAAATTTTAACAAATTAGTTTTAGAATATTAGTCAATTATAATTGCATTACGGGGTATTTGAAAAATGCTGTAATTGTTGAATATGTATCAATGTGGTGAGTTACTTGAATTTCAGTGCTAATTGTATTATACGTTTGTATCTCGATAACAGTCCATAAGATGCATTGTAAACATGACACAGTGAAGTAGAAAAATGGAGCGGTGGGGGGGGGGGGGGCGCACAATGCTGAAATATGCACAAACATGAATTAATTTCTGTAAAATAAAAATTTCTGTAACATAAATTTTTATAATTATTTTATTACTAGTTCTGCAAAACAAATTTGTCAGGGTCATAACATCAGATTTATTTATTTGTTTTATTGTGAATATACATCTTATTCGTTTGTGCGTTCTTTTAAAGGGACAATAACACTCTTGCTGGCTTGACAGCTCCAGAAAATAAAAAATAGCCTTATTCTAAGTACTAGATGTGTTAGTGTCCTACCTGTTGTGTAAATTATCCATTAAATCATATTTTACTTGTCCAGAGGGTTCGAAAATATTTTTAAATCCAAGTCACATTTGAACAGCTTTACGTCAGGCTTTTCAAATCATTTAGTTGAATTTTTCCAATTTTTTAAATTAGGTTTGTTAAGATGAAATTTGTATCATCAATGAATTGGAATATTGTAAAATAGTACAATTTGTTGACCAGAATAAAGATTGGGACATATTATTCAGTTACAACAAGAGTGGCATTGAGCCTTTAACTTGTGACATTATTACAAAATTCAGGAGCGAGTCATCATTTAAATCTACTCCACTTGCCCATATCCATTGCGGAACTTTGCAAACGTGTATCTTCTTCGAGGTTTAGGCAAAAGACAGATAATCATGGATTTTTGCCTTTTTATGTTACGACTGCAACTAGAAAATTGCTCAGATAACCCTAAACCTGTTGGATGTTTCCCGCCTTCATTAGCCCAGTCGGAGCAGAACACAGTAGGACGTTAAACCTCATTTCATTTCATTGTTAGATGTTTGAACCTGTCATATCGCTGATGAGTCGAGCGGAAAGTGATATCAAGTGTTATGAAATAAGTAAGCAAAATCATATCCTGCCTTGTAGAAGACATAACCCAGAACTTATTTCTTTAATGATGTCAAAGTTGTCAGTGTACTGCCTGATAAATCATTTACTGTATTGTCAATACCATTTTAACGGTTTAAAAAAAAAAAAAAAAAAAAATAAATAACATTTAAGTTACGTAATTTGCTATTTGCGGGAAGTTCTTAAAATGTTTGAACAAATAAAATAAATACATTGCAAAATACTTTGTAAAAAACAAAACCAAACAAAAAAAAAACAAAAAGAAAACAAAAAACATTTGACTTAGATAATTTTATGTTTGCTGGAAGGTTTCAAATTATTTCCTACAAATTAAATAAATCCATAAATCAATTTTAAAAAGATTTTATCTCAAAAAAGCTTTCTGAAAACGGAAATAAAATACCACGCATATTCAGAATGGATTTTTGGTACGACGGTCATACTTCAGAATGGATTTCTGGTACGACGGTCATACTTCAGAATTTGAAACACAACATAGCTTTGTTTATCTAAAACATCTAAAACGTTTTGCAGTATTTATCATAGAATAACAGTATTTATCATAGAATAACAGTATTTATCATAGAATAACAGTATTTATCATAGAATAACAGTATTTATCATAGAATAACAGTATTTATCATAGAATTTATCATAGAATAACAGTATTTATCATAGAATAACAGTATAATACTGTGTATAAAGTATAATACTGTGTATAAAGTATAATACTGTGTATAAAGTATAATACTGTGTATAAAGTATAATATTTAATATACGGTGTTTAAAATACAGTATTTAATATATGGTGTTTAAAATACATAATTTAATAAAGTATAATACGGCGTATACAGTAAATACTGTGTATAAAATACAATTTAATATACGGTGTTTAAAATGCAATTTAATATACGGTGTTTAAAATACAGTATTTAATATACGGTGTTTAAAATACAATATTTGATATACGGTGTTTAAAATACAGTATTTAATATACGGTGTTTAAAATACAGTATTTAATTTATGGTGATTAAAATTCAGTATTTAATATATGGTGTTTAAAATTCAGTATTTAATAAAGTATAATGCGGTACATAAAATTCAGTATTTAATAAAGTATAATACGGCGTATAAAATACCTTGTAGAAAAAAACAATCGTAGGGTGTATAAAATCTGACTATTTCAGAATACATGCATACTTTTACATACGGTCAACAATTTTCAGAATCAAGATAAACACGTGAGGCTCTCTGAAAAAGTTAAAACTTGCCGACAAAACTAAAAAAATTTGCATTCAAAGCTGATTTCAAAAGTATTTTAAAAATGAAATGAGGTTTAACGTCCTACTATTCTGCTCCAAACTGGGCTAATGAAGACGGATTGACATCAAACTGAAGAGTACATAAAACAAATTAAAAGTTGTTATTATGTGCTATTCAAGTTGAATCATCATTATTAGAAGAATTTTAGCCTTCTCTAAATATGTTTCCATTTCGTCAATTAAAGAGAAAAATACAAACAATGAAATTTACTAGATTATGTATTGAATAATGTATTCTAGAAACCATAGAGTTCCAGTTACATGTGTATCAACCATAAAACCTGCTCCATTCCCTGGCAATCCACCAAATAATTTTCCTAAATTATTTATTGAATAGGTATTCTAGAAACCATAAAGTTCCATTACCTGTACATCAGCCATAAAACCTGGTTCATTCCCTGGCAATCCACATTGATGCCTTTAATCTCCACTTAATCCGCGGATTTACAGACAGTATGTCACCAATCTCTAACTATCTGCTACAATCAGCCTGGTTTATGGCAGTCATAAGCAGGGCTCTATCTCTTAAAACATGTGTTTTGTCACATCTGATCGTGGGAGAATGGAGTTTGGGAAATCCAATCAAGCTAACCCCATGTAGATAATCCACTGGTCGTAAAACTTTAAACAAATGGCTTCAAGTACATAAAAAAACAATTTTGGTCATCACTGGCCACTCGTATGAAGATTGTCATTCTGTGTGGACGCGGACTATTTTGAAGTTTCAACTGACACACGTATTTTCTATTAAATTCATATATAAAACTTGTAGAGGTTAATGAGATCATTTTTGATAAGCACAGTAAGTACACGTAACTCAACCTATATTTTTTTTTATCAATTACTTATTTCCATATAATTATTATTATGTTATTATTGTGGTCTGGGTAAAAATATTTAAATGATAGATATAGTTTATGAAACGGGGATTTATTAAAACTCTATTTTAATACATGATAGGCATGGTTAAAATGAGTATTTGCAATATAAAATAAATGCTTGATTAATTTGTTTTAGAAAGCTGGGAGTTCGATAATGAATACTGACAAACATAGCAACCATTATATTGTCACAATATGGACATCCATTTTCAGAACATCAACTCGAGGATTTGTACAAAATATTTGTTTGGTCTAAAATACCCCAAACATGCATAGATATTTCAATAGGGGTAAAAACGACAACAAAATTAATTGACTAATTAATAGTAATAAATTTCATTTAGCGTTCTGGTATATAGTTCAATAAATAAATCATTGGTTATTTTACGTGCCTGGGACAGTTAAATGAACCAGTTAAAACTGATGGTTTGTCCCTAATTGGGTGGCAATATAACTAAATTATAACTGTCGTGATATAATTAGCACCAATGTTTCAAAGTTTACTGTTGTTAACATTCAGCAAATCGTTTTTTTAGGGGGGGGGGGTGTATTTAAAATGCTTTTTTAGAAAATAAAACAAACAAAACAAGGCTTCATTGTCAACGTTTTATCAATCAAATCATATCAATTTCATCGTGTTAGTTGACCCTATAGAAACATCACGAAACAGACCAAGAAATAATTCGTTTAAGACACGTTTAAATCATTTAAAGACGGGGTTGATGGTAGAAAATAAACAAACAGAGTTTATTCAACCTATCGATTGTTTTGTAAAACTTGTTGACAACAAAGAACGAAGACTACAAACCCGATAAAAAATCTTGTAAAAACTGTCAGTGGTTTCTCATGCCTAGCTTGGGGGATCAACTTTGTGTACATAGGACTTGAATAACATTATTATCTTGTAATAATGATTCTTTTTGTAATTAGTTTAAAATACAATTAATGTTTTTGTTAGAATCTTGAAAGTCCAATCAGGGTATGAAGCAAGGATTGCTGTTGCGACCTGCATTAATTTGTATGTACATTAATGATTTTTATGTGCTTATTATTGTAGGAAGATGGACACACGTGAGATAGGAGTCGGTGTTGTGGTGGTGTCATGGGTGTGTGGAAGTATATTATCTGTCATGTCTCTGGTCTATTTGATATTAAATATACGTCTGCGTAATACGAGGTTAGTTTGTCATGTCATTATTTATTTTGAATGCTCGCTTGGGAAATACTGGAGATGCACTAGTATTGTGGCGTGGCTTAAACATTCAAAGCAATTCCATGGAATGTATATTTCAATTTTATGGGTTATAATGTTGCCGCTTAAACATACATTATGCAAGAGTTAAATCTGCTAATTGCGGGTCTTTCTTTGGGCCTGAAATGTTATCTAAATTATTAATTAGACATTAATTAACTGATCCAGGCCATAATAAACTCTCGATGGCATCGAATTTCTCCGATATTAAATAGATTAGAACGATTCAGGCATATTTTGATTTAATCTAAAAATGGAGGAGCGAGACTTAGCTTCGAACAACCAGTACGGTGTTTGAAATTATTTCACACGTCTTATCAAACCTTCAAAGGCTAATATCGCAATAGAGTAATTTGAATGCAATTTTCAAATTATTCATTTTAAATGATCTATTTTCGAACTATTATAGCAAAAATGACTAGCTCTTTATTTAAAATCTTACATAATGTATCTTTAAAATGATTTTGTCCATTAAAATCTTACTTTATTTCATTCAGGTTGATCAAAATGTCCAGCCCAAATTTGAATATTTTGGTAGCATCAGGAGGCTTGTTGTCCAGTATAACGTGTGTTTTATTTGGTATTGATTTCTTCATAGCAGACGACAGAAAACAAGTCTCTAATATATGCCAGGTAGGGAATTCAGTTATATTTATACTCGTATTATACATTTAGAATTGAACATCAAAACTGGTTTAATTTTAAAATTAAACTAATTAGAGCCTATCGGTATTATAAGATATGCTATTTAATCATGCATTCCAAATACGAATCAAAATATTACTCAATATTTAAAATGATATGGGTTTTGTATACCGGCATTACTACTCGTCATTACTGCCCTCAAAATGTGTATATCTTATACGAGGACGAATCGTCCAGGATTCGATATTTTCTAGTTCTTGTCAAATTGAATTGTCGAAAAATAAAATATACCAAAATTTGTGCCCTGCGTAAATTTTTTAACGTTTTATTTTCTTTTCAGTTACGTGTCGCCTTTTTAAGCTGCTCGTTTTCACTGTTGTACGGACCCCTGTTAGCGAAATGTTGGCGAGTTTATCGAATATTTGAACAGGCATCTTTAAAACGTGTTGTAAGTATTTAATAAACAAAGCTAAACCCTGGTCGTCAACAAATATAATTTATTTACAAGTACAACTAATCGTCTGAGATTAGAAATGGATCGTGTTATCTCCCTTGTTTGCTGGCGGCTGTTATATTTAACATCCAAAACATGATATCTGAACACAACACCGGTAATTCTTACCAACCCTTTCCATTTTCAGAACTCTGTAAGCTTCCGTTGCGGAAGCTTCTTTACCGAAGGAAGCCGCCTGACAATGGACACTATCTAGTTGTTCGGATGAAACAAAAACCGAGGCCTCGTGTACACATTGGCGTGTACGTAAAATAACCATTAGGTCCGTTTCCACAATCCCGGTCGCTGCGGACAAGTAGGACGTTAACCCCATTTCATCACGAAAGCCTGTGCTACTTAAATTTGATGTACACTAACCCATTTAAGTTTATTCCAGAAGTCAGACCCCACCTTTCATTATAATCATTTATTCCTTCAAATACTTGTTATTAATGCCACAACACTATTAAATGCCAGTGTTAATATTTGAATTAATTAATGTTGATTTTGTTAATTGATTATGATCATTGTATTTTTTAGGTTATACGTGATAATCAACTATTCATATTTATTGGTATTTTGTTACTGGGTGACGTCATTCTGATGTCTGCATGGCAAATGGTTGACCCTCTTCAGTACACAAATATAGCTCATGTGTCCCAGGTAAGAGCACCATAAATATTTAAATGTTAGAATTGGATTCCCTTTCGATTTCCTGACAATCTATCTGAAATAGAGATGTAGCCTAATTTTGCACTACTTCTATTTTTGGCACATTATATCCTATAAATATATCTTGTTATGTTTTTCAGATTGTGTCAGAAATGAAATTAAACCTATCCCATCTATCAGTTGTAACAGTCACGACCTGTAGTTGTAATAATATCGTGTCCTGGTTGATGGTTACCATTGCTTTGAAGACTCCTGTCCTTATAGCCGGTCTATTTCTCGCATGGAAGACCCGTGACGTCATGTTACCCTCCATGAATGACTGTTACGGCATCATCATTAGTACTTTGACCACCATTTCTGTTTCCACTACCATCATTTCCATCAGCAGTATTTTCCAAGATCGTCCTAACATCGTCTATGGAAGTCTTCTACTTGGTATATTTGTCTGTTCTGCAGTAACCACGTCTATGGTTTTCGTCCCAAAGGTAGGTCATGGAAAAATTACTTTCCTACGGTGTAAATAGAAATACTATAATGATATGCTGAACATACATGGTAGGATTCGAACCCCGGTAGACAATTTAATACAATGCTGTCGAATTCTTATTAACGGTACCCTCTCATGACGATAAACGATGGGGATCACGTGGCTAAGTGGGTAAGACGCTGGCTCGCTAGCCTGGAGGTCGGGTGTTCGATCCCTGCATTGGTCGAGAAAATTCATTCAGATTTTCCAGCGTGGTTTCCCCTTGTCAGTTATGCAGGACGGAGGGTCTGACAAGGACAGCTGTCTAGTCGTTCGGATGGGACGAAAAACCGAGGTCCCGTGTACACATTGGCGTGCACGTAAAAGATCCCTTGGCAGTTGGAATTCGATATAAGAGTAGGCCGTAGTACCGCTGTCCGGGCAAAATTTCCCTCATAGCACACTGTATGGCGTATGCCCGTCTTCATTAGCCCAGTTTAGGAGCAGAACAGTAGGACGTTAAACCCCATTTCATTTCATTTCATTTACGATAAACGATTTTGTCCTGTTCAGTTTTTATTAGACGTTATACCGGTCACCCGACGCCATTTCAAGTATTCAAAAATAATTGAGTTCAGGCATACACATATATATTTCGATTTATTTTAGTTGATGTTATGGTGGAAAAATCCGGAAAAGGCCGATCTTCGTGTTTCAATGTCTGCTAAGTCTACCCACAACGTCACAGGAATACAGACATTCGACCAGTTTGAAGATGATATGTACAGTGTAGTGGCTGAAAATCGATCCATGAAGAAGTCATTACAAGAGGTAAGATCAAGTATTTAATTTTAGTGGGGATATCATAAATTATCACACTACGGTTCTTCATCAGCAATACCAACACGTCTGCTAGCGGTTAAATAAATCTCATATTTAAAGATCTTAAAACGGAATAATGATCTTAAAACGAAACGGAATAATGATCTTAAAACGAAACGAAATAATGATCTTAAAACGAAACGGAATAAAGATCTAAAAACGATGGGAAACTTGGTATCAACCGCATATTTAACAAAATACTTAATGCTTTCAGAAAGACCTGGCCATTAACGACCTCCAAAAACATTTGAGTAATGCACAGAAGAAGTTGATGGAAATTTCACTGGACCAAGAGGCGCGACAAGACAGTGGTTTAGATATTGATCTTTCATCTTCAAGTGGACAAGACGACAGCGATGCCAATACATCGGGCGTGAGTGGCGAACAGTTGACACCAGAGAAGACACCACCACCACCATCTTTACCAGTTGTGACACTACTTGACACGGATGTGCAACGGCAGCATAGCTTAAAGAGTTATAACAGTTCAGCAAGTGTAGTTGGTTATAACAAGCTGTGTCGCCTGCGTGATTCCATTGCCGAAGACCTTAACCAAGCTAAACATCTGAGCACTAACATTCGAACCTCCATCTCCAGAGATATGGACAAAGTAGATAAAGTGTCCAGACACCGATCCTTCCGTTATGACTCTTTGAAATCAAGACAGGAACTAGCCGGCTCCATAGCTCAATCATACAACCTCGCTGATTCCGGGGAAACATACTCGTATGTTTCCAGTTGCGTCACTTCCTCTTCTAATCTTCAACAAGTTAGAAATGTTCAATACTCCTCTTCAGAAAGCATCGATACTCTTCCAAATGACAAACTTTACCCGGAGCGACGAAAGAAACCAAGACGTCACATGAGAAGAGGTGACCTGAATAAAACCGTATATACCATTTCAGCAAATCCAAGAATAGTGCAAAGTGCTGTTACTCTGTCCAAGAGCTTAGACACCGATACATTTGTGTAAAACAACTATTTGAGTGTGATAGTGAAATTTGTGTGTGCAAAAACAACTCTAGCGATAGTGCTCATTGTTGGCATCCAAGATGTCGATTGAATTGTTAAAGTATATTAATGGTTGATTAATGATTTGAGCCTTCAAAAATGGTAATATAATCAGAATTTATTTCATATATATATATATTGTTATTATTACTGTATATAAACATGTTTATCTATTTATATCAATTTGTATATTTTGTTGAACAAAAAATATTGTGCTTTCCAAAAATATTAATAAAATGAATATTCCAAAAGCATGTCTTGTTTTATAACCTTAAATAAGCAAGGGTACACCTTAGATAAGAAACCTCATATGTCGACCTGTGTGTCTCAAGCTAAGTGATGATACAACACATTTCTTTCTGACAGGCGCTGATGTACTTCAATAAGCAATTCTTTCCTTCAAAACAACGATTAATTATTGTTATTGATTATAAATTTCTGCCACATTCAACTACAATTAAGCATATGATTCTACCTGACACGGGTACAGATCATCTTTTTAATGGCTCCAACATGTGACAACACAGTCGCAAAATACTGTATATTCTAAGCCACCCTAGTGCAGCTACAAGCACACGTACTACATGTGCTGCCACTCATTGCATCCACATCTAATGAGCCACATTACAACCGGTCAACTTGCTCCGGAGTCTGTCATGTGGCTCATCAGATGTGGATAAAGTTGTGACACACCCTGTAGTACGCTTGTTAGTAGCGACACTAGGGATGGTTTAGAATATACGGTATTTTGCGCTTGTGCTGTCGCAGGTTGCAGCCAGAAACACGACTAAAGGATTAAACTGAATTATTACCCAATTTCGTGGGGGTTATTTTCGTGTTTTGCGGGCAGAATTTTATTATACGCCCACATTTTCATGTGGACGTATTATGCCGTCGCCCCTGTCCGTCCGTCCGTCCACAATTGTTTGTGGACTCTCTACAGGTCACAATTCTTATCCGATTTCGACGAAACTTGAAATATAGGAATATCCCCAAAAGATCTCGACTGCTTTCGATATTGGCATGTATCGGATCGAAACTTCATGGATTATGGCCCCTGTTTGTACGAAAAATCACGTTTTAAGCTTGTGGACCCTATAGAGGTCACAATTTTGATCCGATTTTGTTGAAACTTGAAATGTAAGTTTATAACCCAAAGATCTCAGTTCCTTTCGATATTCGCGCATATCGGACAGTAACTTCCTGAATTGTGACCTCTACAGGGTCCACAACCTTGATATACCATATTTTTACACTATTCGCGTACAAGCGGCGGCCATTTTGTCAGAGGGCCCAAGCTAAAAAAGGCGATTTTTCGTATAATCAGGGGCCATAATTCAGGAAGTTACGATCCGATATGTACAATGTCGAAAGTAACCAAGATTTTTAGTTTGAGTTATAAACATGCATTTCAAGTTTCAGCAAAATCAAATTAAAATTACAACCTCTACAGGGTCCACAACCTTGATATACCATATTTTACACTATTCGCGTACAAGCGGCGGCCATTTTGTCCCGCAATTTTGGTCCGATTTTCACGAAATTCGAACTCAACCTTCATTACGGTGTAACGGTTATATAATCAAACATTTTAAATCGGATAATAATTGTGACCTCCAGAGTGAACACAAGCTAAAAAGGGCGATTTTGCGTACAATCAGGGACGATAATTCAGGAAGTTACTATCCGATATGCGCAAATATCGAAAGGAACCATGATCTTTAGGTTATAAACATGCATTTCAAGTTTCATCAAAATAGAATTAAAATTGTGACCTATACAGGTTCCACGACCTAGATTTACCATATTTTTTACACTCTTCGCGTACAAACGGCGGCCATTTTGTCCGGCAATTTTGCTCCGATTTTCACGAAATTCGAACTCAACCTTCCTTTGGGTGTAACGGTGATATAATAATAAGGTTTTTTAAATGGGATAAACATTATGATCCTATAGGGTCCACAAGCTAAAAACGCGATTTTTCTTACAATCAGGAACCATAATTCAGGAAATTACGGTCCGATATGCGCGAATATAGAAAGGAACTGAGATCTTTGGGTTATAAACTTACATTTCAAGTTTCAACAAAATCGGATAAAAATTTTGATCTCTATAGGGTCCACAAGCTAAAAACGTGATTTTTTGTACAAACAGGGGCCATAATTCATGAAGTTTCGATCCGATACATGATAATATCGAAAGCAGCTGGGATCTTTTGGGGATAAACCTATATTTCAAGTTTCGTCAAAATCGGGCAAGAATTGTGACCTGTAGAGAGTCAACAAACAATTTGTGGACGGACGTCCGGACGGACGGACAGGGGCGACGACAATATACGTCCACCTGAAAATGTGGGCGTATAAAAATGATCTTAGAATTATTTCAACTTATAAGTTAATACAACACAATAATTTATTTTACTCAATAAAGAACACCGGGGACAGACTCAGACAAGCAGGAAATCTCATTTGCGTTTTCATATATTTATGATATATCTAGATGCATCGCCACATCGGTGTCAGATTTAGAAGGGAGGTCCTAGGCTATTCCACTTGTAAGGACCCTCCCAAACCCTGCCCTGACCCTCACGACTATGGGCTAATGGGAGTGTGTTTAAGAGACAATAAATTGGAGCAAAGCCGAGGATGATGACATGTTTCAAAATACACGTGTAAGAAAGACGTTATACCACACCTTGGTTGAAGAACCCGCGGATCTGGCGGTCCCCGTCCTAGTAGGCTTCAACCTGCCAAGCATATTATGTAAATCTGGCACTGCCTCACCTATTACAGTTATCCTAGTGCCAGTCTAATCCATCTGCGATTTTTATTGATATATCTAAGAATGATATTAATTTGTATGACTCGGGCTATATGTTGTAGGTCGTGTTTAACTGTCAATAAAAGATACATGCCGTGTTCTACGATCTCGTCTAACAGATATAGTAGATACATACTGTGTCTTACGGTCAGTGACAGTTACATGTCGCGTCTAACAGTCTGAAGGTCCGTTTATACTGAAGGCGAATGCGGCCGGGTTTTTGTTCGTGCCAAAAATCGCAAAGATTACCCCCCGAGTGTATTTTGTAAACGCAAACGATTTTGATTAGCAATTGGAGTGCTTGGCCAAAGGGCAAACTCAGGGGCGGATCCAGAGGGGGGTGGGGTCGACCCCCACCACCTGCTCAGCTACATATTTTTTTTTTTTTTTGTAAATCAACACTTTTTATGAGAAAAGTTTCTCAGCCGTGTGCTTTATCCTTTATCGTCAGATGTGGGACAGGATGGACACTCAAAGCACGAGATAATGATATCCATGTAGATATCATGTGATATCACAATTAATGCTTTGCATCCATGAAATTGCATCACAATGTCATTGTATTAATTCATAATAAAAACTGACGTCAAACGAGGTGTTGAATTTCTCTGTTTAAAAAGCTTAATGTGTATGTATATACGCCAAAATGACTATAGAGGCCATGCGGGAGGGGGGGGGGTACATTATCTCAGGAACCTGGCAAACCCCCTCCTGCAAAAATTCGTGCACGCCTTGTGCCTCACAGTCAATATATACCGTTTCTTTAAATGACATCTAGAAGCACGGTTAACTATTCATAACAAAACACAACACAAGGTATATATGGATGTAACTACTTCTCTATTATTTAATAACGACGTTTCGTAACACATACAGGTCAGGTTTTGAACGGTGTTCTTCACGCAAGTCCGATCGACATGAATATCGACGAGCTTGTTCTTTTAACAATTCTGAATCCCTTTGGTGAATTAAATTTTTTAATTTCATGTAACAACATGGTCAGTTCCTAGTCAATTATACGATCGTGGCTGTTTAAAATGTATGTTTTCTTGCAACCAAATTCCCACCTGATATAAGTGTTATACCTAAAAATTCTCGTTTCAAGTCCACAGAGCCGCGGCCCGAGAAGCCTATGGTCAGGGTGTGCCGTCCACGTGGAAACATTTTGACACCCTATTTGATTTTCAGGACGATCTGTGGTGTTCCGCGCTATTCTACAATGCTATTTCGTGCGCGTGATCTGAAAAATGAAATATATGATTTGTGTATTACGTCCGCAGATAGTGTTTATTGGACAGCGAGAGTTTCAAGTCCTTGGTTAATCGATTTCTATCACTTGAAATTTGAAGATATCAACTTGACTTTTCAAGATGTCATCTTTACTTTTAACTTTTAAGATACAAACTCGCATTTTAAGACACTTACATGAATATGCAAATGCCAACTACAATTTTCAAGACACTAATCTGAGACTTCAAAATACAATTTTGCATTTTTAGGACAAATCAGTTTTATCTAACTCTTTACATTTAATCAATCACTGTAAACTATTTCTTAGAAGTTAGTGCTTTGGAAATTCATGGTAGTATCTTGAAGATTCAAGTAAATGTATCTAAAATTCAAGTCAGTAACAACTTGTAAACATTTACAAACAATCATTCAATGAGGAACCATATTGGGGTTATCATGATTATAAGTAGGACTAATATTACAAAAAACAAGCATTACAGAGTTTGTGCGCACCTGTCCCTCCACCCGCCTTCACTCTCCCTCTTCTAATCAACTCCCACTCCTACACTCCCCGCGCTTTCCCTTCCTTCCCATCTTCCTTGCATTTCAGTTCAATGTCCCTCTGGTTTATTTACCAAATAATTTCTTTTAGTAAGTAGAGTTCAAAATTTTCTCGTGCACCCCCTCTTACTTCTACTTCTATAATCGTTTTCAGCTTATTACAAACTGGTGGTGACGATGATAATGTTAATGATGATGCTGATGATGAATTATATTGCTGCCGAATGTAGATTTTGGAATCACTTGTTGCTCCCTCCCCACCTGTTCTCCCAACGGCGCCCTCTTCTTCTACCCTTCCAAACCCATTTCAAACTGATGATGAAGATGATAATGCTAATGATGATGATGAATTATGTTGCGGCCGGTATGTAAATTTTGGGATCACTTGTTGGAGATCCGGGTTCCCAGAAACAATTTTCCCTTGTGTTAGATTGCGCGCGAGTCCTCGATTGTTCACATACAGACGG